ATTTGCATCTTGTCCTGAATATTAAGTTTAGAGCGCTTAAATGATGCTCATTTTAAAGGCCAATTCATTCAAAAAAAGGATGAGTTAAAAAAAAAACTTTCTCCCTTTATTGGTAAACACAGAGTGAGTTTGACTCTAGTATCCTGTGATCTTGATGGGAAGTCTCTAATTGCTCACAAAGCTGGGATGATTAGGTTTGAGCCCTTGGGGTTTTTTCAAACATAAGGTAATAGGATTATCCGAATGCCTCCCCAGAAAAGACTGCACCTGTTCAAAATGATTGCTTAGAAAAGTCTAGTTACCTTTGAGGGAAATGCAAGTAAACACAGTTATGTAATGGTCTGTGGCCAACTTTTTAATGTTCTGATTTGATTTGTAGAAATGAATTATAAAAGCAGGCAAGACAAGGTGCTGCATGGGTAAAATCCAATTTGTGCAAATTAGAAGCATACCTGAAAATAATCAGACCCAGTGGTTGATGGAGAAAGACAGTCTGCATGATTAAAGATTATTGGTTTACTAATGATCCGGTGGTAAACAGAATTATTCCCTAAGGTGGGGATACAAAGCAAGAGTAATGATTATCCATTTGCAACAATACTTAGAAGATTTCACACCTACCTGGTCCTTCTGTTTTCTGCTGGTAGCTATATTCTAAGTTATCTCATCTTCAAGGTAGGAAGAATAATGATCGCAATTCTTCATCATGTCAAAATGTCTGATGATAGTAAGACACATAGAATTTTGGGAGAAGAAACTAGTAAAGCCATGCTATTCTTCTTAGTCTCTCCCTCAAAATGGGTGTTTTGAGGTTTAGAGTGGAATGTTTCATTTCTACATCCTTTGAAAATCTTGAGTTTGTCAAGAAAATTTTCATCCTCACAAAAGTTTGAAAACATTTTTTCCCAAAAGTCTGCATTCAATTTGTTTATTTTTATTGAGAGCTGAGGGATGAAATTTTAAGACAAAATCAGCATCAGATTCTTATTCAGCTTGATGAATGTGGGGGCTCTGTAGTCCTGTGATGCAAAAGCATTTCAGAGTAAAAAAAAAATGGAGATTAGAAATAAACAGAATAAATGATCAGATTAGAATGAAAGTAACACATCATCATCATTCATCACTCATGAATTCATTCAATCCAGAAATGCCTGTTTATTTTATCCTTTAACGTCTCTGTCATCAGGATGGCCCTCACAACCAATGGAATGCCCTGATTTAATTAATCACTCTTGTTTTCTTTCTGAGTGATACAGAAAGTAACACTGTGTCTTGGACTCACTGACGTCTTAAATTCGGGGAAATAACTTAATTTTTTTCCCCACTGATTTTTTTTTTAATTTTCGTTTTTTAAAATTGAAGTACCATTGATTTGTAATGTTTCAATGCTTCAGCAAAGTGATTCATTTATACATATACATAAATCTATTCTTTTTCCAGATTCTTTTCCATTATAGTTTATTATAAGATATTGAACATAATTCCTTGTGCTATGCAGTAGGCCCTTGTTGGTTATCTATTTCATATATGTTCATCCCATACTCCTAATTAATCCCTAGTTAATTAAAAGCCCTTCAGTGCTCATGCCAGAATGGAGACTTAGCAAATTGCATTATGAACCTACCAGCCATTTTTGGTTAGGACTTTTCTTGTAATCACAATGAGAGCGGCTTGCATGTGGTGTCTGGTTCTGAAGTATTCTGCAAGTGTTTAATGGAGAAACGTGGCAAATGTGGAGCATGTGTCCTCTGAGACATCAAGGAAACCACGTGCACACAGTCAGCAATGAGAACTGGAGTACGCTGGTGATTCGTGCTCTCCGCTATTTTGTTTGTGTTTGAACTGCAAGCACTGATGTTGAATTGTTTGAATGCAGGCTTTGCACCCACACTCTTGCTGACGTAGTACAAAAGGCTGCATCCTATTAGCACCATATTTTAAAACTGGAAGCCAAATTCTAATCCACAGCTTTGATACATTGCCTAGCTTTGATTTATTGTCTAGGATAGAATCTACTGTTTTTTTGGGGGGGGGGATTGTTTTTGCTTGCGTTAGGGTAATGATCTCGGTTCTTTGTTTTACTTATTGGTGGAGTACTTAAAAGGTTGATTAAGACTATGAAAGATATTTCATGTAGACTTAGCATAGAACCAGGCTCTCAACTGGGAGTGATTCTGTACCTTTTGGGACACTTGGCAATGTCTGGAGATTGGCAGTGGAGTGGAAATGCAACTGTCATCTGGTGGGTAGAGTTCAGGGATGCTGCTAAACTTCCTACAATGCACAGGACAGCTGCCAACAAAAAAGAATTGCTAGGTTGAGAAACCCTAGAGTAGAGCCCGGCATAGTAAGTGCTTACTTAGTAAGCTTCCTATTACTGTTACCTGTTATTTATTAAAGTTGGTTCATATCATTATTTTTCAAGCTAATCTCTCCTTTAAATAATGTCATGGCCATAATTTCATCAGTAATACTGAAGAAAGTATGTAAAATTCTTTCCAGGTTTTCACGTGTCTATTACAATTCCCCAAACATCAGAAGTTCCTTAGAGTTTCTTTTTATCTATGGAAGTAAGCATCAAGTTTCCCCCTTTAAATCGGTGAGTTCTGCACACTAGCATTGCACAGTAGGGGGTACAGAAAGATGAAACACAGCTTCCTGCTCAGTAGTTTGGAACTAAAAACATCTACTTTCAAACTTGCACAAACAGACTGCCGTGCAGGAATGATAGCGGTGGTTGAGGGGAGACATTAATAGAGACTGCTCGACCTTTTTCTTCTGCAGACTAAGTAAAAGTTGGACTAAATAGAACAAGAAGAATTAAGCACGCACATGTGCACACACCACCACCATCGCCACCTCCAGGGTCATGCAGAGGTCTTTCTGATGCTGTTTTATTCATGGGGTTTCTGCACAAATCTCTCAGAATGCACCACACAAGCCTGGCTGGCTTTGTATGCAAAATGTTGCCTCCCCCAGGACAGCTTAGGAAGAAAAAACGAACACAGAGAACTAACTCTAATGGGGCGCACTTCATTTTAACAAAGATTACTGTGGATGCAGTATTCACAGAGGCAGGGTTCATACCTTGCTGTGCATAGGAGTCATGTTGAAACCTTTGAATGTGTTAACTCAAAGCTGGCTTTGACATTATGAAAATCAGAAGCCACAGCGACATGGTGTATAATTGAAACTTCCTCTGCCTTAATTTGCATTTTGAAAAATTATCAAACATTGTGGAAGTGATTTTTAAGATTGGATCCTCATGGCTCTTAATACCTTACCCATAAGTAATAATTTACTCAGTAACAAACAATAGCATCAAAAAGAAATTTCGTTTACTTAGAGCCTGAATAGTGTACACTCTAAAATTCTTTACCGTTTTTTCCTTTTTCTTTAGCTTGCTAAAGCATTATGAGATTGTGAACCTATATCAGCCCTATGCCAAACCCAAATTTGTTTACTTAGTCATTCTTATTTTTTCTTTGTTATTTCCATTTGGATGCATTGTTCCAGAAGTGTACTGTTTTCTTTTTAAGATCCCAGATTCAAATAGCCAAAGGGTGTTTTCGGTTGTTCCTTGCCAATGACGATGATGATAAGTTCTGTCATTCATGTGCTAAGTCTCCCATATTGCAGTTCATTCATTTCCAGTGTAATCAGTGGGAAATACACATGTAATTCCCATAGGTATTAAATGGCCATCCTCTGTAGATGAGGCAATCACTTGTGCTTAGGCACCCTCTCGTTCCACCCCGGACATAATGACTTTAAAAGTCTGGTTTCTTGTGGGTCACAAACTCATTCAATCCAATTAATACAATTAAACCCAAACAATAGTAGCTATGTTGCTCCAAAATATTTCCTTCTCTTCAGCTAGCTTTGATGTGAACATTTAAGCTCTCTGCCTGGCGTAGACTCATCTGAAATGATATGATTTCCCGAGCTGCCCTCTAAACACTGTCACCTATTTTTTTTTTAAATCTGAAATGGAAATAAAATTAATATGCAGGGAAATTCATTAGGGTCTGCTTTCTAATAGCAAATTCCCATTAGCCTTTGAATAAGATGAATCCCGCTACAGGTTAATTGGACAAGACTCTTTGTCTAATTTGAAAGCGTGATTCTATTCTTTAAGAAGGCTTCCTCTCAGGAATATGGCTTTAATACATGTTAAGCTTGTTTTCTCAATCAGACAAATGAATGGAGGCTGAGCTATCACAAAAACTTGGTAATAATTTTCAATACCTAAGTGAAATAACAGGCTGTTCTGTCCAATCCAATGTTGCTTTAGTTTCTGACTGTCAAAAGCTTAATAAAATAATTCTTGTCCTGCTCAGAAGTGAGATTATGAAACCCAGCAATGAGGGAAACCATTAAAAAATTAATTCAGGGGAAAGTTAATTGCAGATTAATATGATGTTTTGCAGCTTGGTCAACAAAATGTTTCAGCCTGATTAACAGTATTTTTCAAAGGCTGAAAACACAACCCCCAAGGAAATGGTTTTTCTTTGTCAGCTTTTATTTTTCATATATGCATTCGAGGTTGTCAATAAAGACACAACTACTTTAACGAATTCCATCGTTTTAAACAAAATTCTCCCATCTCCAGGAATGGGAGCAAGAGAAAGAAGAGACTGGAGAGAGTAATTCTACTTACAAGGCCCTAAAAGCTCCAGTAATTTACTCTCCTTGAGTTATACTTTTAATCTGCCAAGAAATTCTCTTGTACAAGACCTCTGTCCAATTTTCAAGAACCTCCAATCTTCCAGGATAGAAATCATTTGGGATTTTCATTTCACATGACAGCACTATTTCTAGCTTATACTGAATGTTTCATAATGACCTCTTAGCCTTTTCAGTCGTCCAGCAGTTTTGTTAACTTCAGAGATTCCCTAAAACTTGAGGCTCTTCCTCGCTCACCGGCATTGATAGGCAGTGAGTTTGCAGATTTAAGACATTATCCTGGGGCCCCTTCACTGGAGACTGGGAAGCTTTGTGATAGCTGTGAAAGTCGTTGGATTAGGAATGCATCCCCCATCCTCTCTGTGACCCTCTCCACCCCAGTGATCACCCCCTCCCCCAAAACGACCCAGAGCTCCCACTTACGCACTCTCGTCTTCTCAGTGCTCGGTGTCCTGCGGCCAAGGTGTGCGGCGGAGAAATGTGGGCTGTCAGATGGGAACGCACAAAATAGCCAGAGAGACTGAGTGCGACCCGTACAGCAGACCCGAGTCGGAACGCGCCTGCCAAGCCCCGCCGTGTCCGCTCTACGCCTGGAGGACCGAGGAGTGGCAAGAAGTAAGTAGAGCCAGGAAGTGGGCACCTGCCAGGGCTTCCGCTCAGCCCCCTTGCTATCATCACATCCGTTCCCCTGAGAAGCCCTCCAGCACGGTGACAAGGCTGGCTCTGTCCCAAAAGGTCTGCTGTCAGACGGCCAGCAGTTCGCTCTGACCCGGGTGGGAGAGCTCCTCCTTTTTCTGCCATCCCTGTGCCTGTGTTCTTGAACGTTCCGAATCTGGCTGCCTCCAGAAAAAGTTTAACAGGCCTTGGGCCAAAGGCCTAAAGATAACTTTCACAGGAGGAGGGGAGATGGGAGAAATATTTTAAATATGTGGGTTCAGATTTGGTCATTCTGTATGAATTCAGACAGCCGCTAGGCAGACTCTAGGTAGGAACTACTCTGGATTTCTGCCTCCTTCCGCAACTTTGTCTGTCAGCTGCAAGACAGGCATTCATTGAAATCCTGATTAATTAGTGAAGGATTTCCAACATTAAAAAAAAAAAACCAAGGGCATCTGAAAAACTGCTCTGTTGATGCGGAAATGGACAGACTTGTTTTTCTCCTGCTCCAAGTTAATGTCTAGTTAAAGAAAACAGTAAGCGTCCTTGGGGAACCGTCTGGCTGGCAAGGGTAGGACATTAGTAGTAAAGAAGATTCAGTTGTAGAAAGGGGGGAAGGGATGTTGAAAAGCAAGACCATATCTGCTGACATTGGAATGAAACAGAAATTACAAGCCGTCAAAGGTTCGGAGCTGTGAATAGTAAGACAGGAATCTCCCACCAGGCATGGTTTTCAGAACAGGGGGAATACAGTGCCTAGCACTGTGCTGAGTTGCTTTGTGGTCATCACTAGTCAAAATGGGTATTATTATTATTGTTATCCCATTTTGCAGTCAAGGAAACTGAGGCTTGGAGAGCCAGCGTCATTTATCCAAGTGTCACATACCTAGCAAGTAGAAGGAGCAAGGCTTGATCCTAAGTTTATTATCATAACCCATTATGAGATACTGCAACTGCATTCTTTTTTGTTACACAAATGTTGATGGCAATGCTATTTCTCCCCCATTTTTATTGAGATATAATTGACATAAAATGTATTAATTTTAAGTGAATTTTATGCTGATGTGATCTATGTATCTGTTACAAAATGATCACTACAGTAAGTATAGTTATTGTTAATAACAACCATGTTACAGTTAACTTTGATCACCTCACAGAGTTACAGATTTCTTTTTCTTGTGTTGAGAGCTTTTAGGATCTATTCTTCTAGTAACTTTCAAAGTTAATGCACGGTATTGTTAACTGTAGTCACCCTGCTGTACATTACATCCCCTGGACTTACTTATCTTTCTGCTGGACCTTTGTTACCTTTTGACCACCTTTACCAGTTCACCTACTCCCCACCCCTCACCTCTGGCATCCACCAACCTGTTCTCTGTACGTTCATTTTTGTTTTTTGGTTTTTTTCAGATTCCATATATAAGTGAGAACATGTAGTAGTTGTCTATTTATGGCACTTAGGATAATGCCCTCAGAATCCATCCACAGATGGCAAGATTTCCTTTTTTTATGGCTGAATTATATTTGTATATGTATATATATATATGTGTGTGTGTGTGTGTATATATGTATATATATATATATATATCACATTTTCTTAATCTGTTTATCCATCAGTACACACTCAGGTTGCTTCCATATCTTGGTAACTGTAAATAATGCTGCACTGAACATGGGGGTGCATGTATCTTTTCAAGTTAGTGGTTTTATTTCCTTCAGATAAATACCCAGGAGTGGAACTGCTGGATGGCATGGTAGTTCTATTTTTAATTTTTTGAGGAGCCTCCATACTATTTTCCACAATGGCTGTACCAATTTATATTCCCACTGACAGTGCACCAGAGCTCCCTTTTCTCCATATCCTTGCCAATTTGTTATTTCTTGTATTTTTGATAATAGCCATTCGAACAGGTCTGAGGTGACATCAGTGTGCCTTTATGGTACCAGAAGGGTAGGGCCTGGACTTTCAGATGTAGAGCAGAATAACTGGAGAAGAGAAGAATGCTCCTTCCAGGCATTCATATCCCATTTGGCTCTGCCCTAGAAGCACCATGTTGTAAAAAAGAGACCATTCAATGTGTGGCTCTGAAAAGTTGACTTCAAATCTCTGGGCTCCAGTTAGCTCGTCTGCAAAATGGGAATTATATGGCAGACTGAGCTGAAGAGTAATAGTGATGATTATCAGATTAAGTCAGGGATTCAGTGCATTGTCTAGCACATTTTAGCCCTTCCACAAATGCCACTTCTCTTTGCTACTATGGACTCCTAATGGAGGGTTCCAGTGACAATCAACACTTCAGTTTAGCCTCTGTATCATGATGTTGGGCTTTTAAAAATCACTCGCCAACTTTGGGCTAGTTATTTAGCTTTTCAGTGCTCGATTTTACTTACTTTAGAATTCTTATGCTTATGAGGCTGAGTTTTTAAAAAAAAAAAAGCACAAGTTTTTTATTCTTTTGAAAATTACTATCATAAAAAAACCTTACTTATTAATACTATTATAATCTGACATAGGAATTTACTTATAGCTGCAGAGGTCTTTTGATCAAACTTGAATTGTGAGTATGTGGGTTATACATCTCTTAGCTTTAAGGAGTAAGTCTCCTAGGCCTTGCAAATATTCTTCTTTTAACCTTCACCCAGAGTACTCTCTTTCCTCCCTAGTACCTCTGTATCACAGCAAGGCTGCCCAGCTCCTTCCCTTGTTTCAGTGACCTTTGCTCAGCCTTCAGGCCTCAATCGAGATGTTGCATCCTTTCAGCACCCCTTGCTGATTGTGCCCTCCCCATGAATCATGGGGTCAGATGACACACCCTCCTCTTACCTCTTATATCACCCTGAAAATACTTTTGCTGTAACAGTTAGCACTCTGAATCCTTGTGCCTGTTTGCCTTGTCTATGTTATCAGCTGTTTGAGGTCAGAAAGCAGAGTTTCCCCCAGCATTTAGCATAGTACCTACAACATTGAAGACGCTTGATGAATGAATAAATCTATGAATGAATGAATGAATGAATGAACAAAATAATAGTTGGGTGGAGGGAGGGAAGAGGGGCAGAGAAGAAAAAGAAAGACATTATAGAACAGTGCTTGCTACTTGATAGCCTTTCTTGTTTAACTCTTTAGAATCACGGCATTCTAAAATGTCTTTGAGAACAATCAGACAAACTCTGTTTTTCCTGTAAGAACAGCTGGTTTACTTTCTTGTCACATTGCCATGGACAAGCTGTGCTCAGATCTGTCTGGCCTTTGTCGAGCTGCCCACCCCATGGCTGTTTGACCCAGTGCAGGGACATGAGCTGTTCTAATATGTATTTGGAGTCACAAACTTACTGAGATCAACTGTAGAATAATTCTCAAGTTCATTTCCTTAGCACAGAAAAAGTAGTAATGAGCTATAGGTCCTTGGTCAGTTGGGTACAAAGATTTCATGAAGTTTACAATAGGAAGTGATCAAGTTTTGATGTGATGTGTGAACAAGGGCCAGATAGTAACTTTTTTTTTTTAAGTTTAATTGAAGTATGGCCAGTTACAATGTGTCAGTTTCTGGTGTGCAGCATAATGACCCAGTCATGCATATGTATATGCATATATTCATTTTCATATTCTTTTTCATTCACTTAGTAACTCCTTATTACTCATTTCCTCATTAATTTATTCAACAGATCTTTTCGAGCACCTGCAAAGTGCCAGGCGCTAGGCATTAGATGTATGATACAAAATGATGTGAAATTGCTGTGGTGAGACTGTCTAGTGAGAGAGACAGAAGATAAGCAAACGATATGTTATATGAAATTGCCATTGTGAAAAATGCTGTGATTGAAAAAAAAAAACCCAAGGTGCTGAGATAGAGATAGAAAGTAAGGGTGGTTGGTCTCTAGGGTAGTCGAGGGGCAAGAGCAAGAAGGGGTGATTCTAGGTAGAAAGAGGAAGGTCAGAGTCCAGTGTGATTGTGGACAAAAGGATAGCGTGTTGCGAGCAGAGCAAGCAAAGGGACCAGAAGGCTGAAATGAGGTTCAACCCGCAGGAGCTCCTGGGTTATGATGACCTCCATAAGCTGGGGCAAGGGCTTGGATTTTCTCCTAAGTAGTATAGAAAATTTACAAGCCTTTCATGACCTGTTCTCTGCCCCTCCTTCTGGAATCCCCATCTCAAACCAAAGGCTTTTTTTTTAACTTTTTTTTATTGAGTTATAGTCATTTTACAATGTTGTGTCAATTTCCAGTGTAGCGCACAATTTTTCAGTTATACATGAACATACATATATTCATTGTCACATTTTTTTTTCGCTGTGAGCTACCACAAGATCTTGTGTATATGTTTCCCTGTGCTATACAGTATAATCTTGTTTATCTATTCTGCATATGCCTGTCAGTATCTACAGATTTTGAAATCACAGTCTGTCCCTTCCCACCCCCCACCCCCTTGGCAAACACAAGTTTGTATTCTATGTCTATGAGTCTCTGTTTTGTATTTATGTTCTTTTTTTTTTTTTTAGATTCCACATATAAGCGATCTCATATGGTATTTTTCTTTCTCTTTCTGGCTTA